GGGATTGCCTCAATTTCAATGACAGCTTAGCCGTGCTAGTTACGGTATTTTAACTCATTCACTCCCAAAGACGTATTTAGATGTCTTTTCAGACGCCACACATTTAATTCCAGCTCCTCATTTTATATTGAGTGTACTTGAAAGGGGTCTGAAAGGGTCCGAAAATACATCTAAATACGTCTTTTGGAGTGAATGAGTTCATGTTGGGTACTCGAGTGGTATTTGGAGGGCAGCAGAAGTATTTCTTTGAGGTACTGCTTGGTGTAAAAAGTTGGGAGAGCCACTGATCAATCGCAAAAAACGAAGCCGCTTTACGGCTCAAAAGTGACCCCGCTGTGACACCGCAACCGATGGATTACGAGTCAACGACACCGCGCGGCTTTAGCGACGCAAAGACATCGCAAAACAAGCGGTGATATATATGGAGGTCGGCGCGGCCATTTGGATGGACAAAGCTGCATCAAGACCCCATCAAACCCGGGATTAGCTTTTTGATACACTGTCATCCCACCGGGGCATTTTTTTTTATCCCGACAATCCACTTGCACTCAAAAGAACAGGGAGCGTGACAACACGGGCTTACTTTTAGATCCACACGGCGTCAGCCCAGACAAGCCCCCGGCCATCCAAGCCCAGCCAAGTCCCTGCAGCCAGCGTACGCTCCATCATAGCATTGAATTGACATCTACAAGCTTCTCCTGTCACCCCCTCGTCCCTCTTTAGAGCGCTCATTGGATGAGGTTGTAGGTTAAAGAAGCAACACTGCGATTCGATTGGCCAAAGGCGGGGATAAGGCCGGCCTTCCGATGGAACTACCACGCTTGTTGACAGGCCATAATCCCAGAAGCTGGATTTAAATCCGCACTGACCCCACCTGCTCTTCTGCCACCTTTGTCGTTGTCACTGTTTACCTTTCTGTGGGTATTCTTCAGCCACCTGGTCACATTCAAAAGCCAAACAACCTTTTCATGGTTTATTTGTGCTTCGGTGAGTCATAAAGAGAGTCGGGGCCAAGGACGCTCAAGTGATTAGTGGCAGTGAACAAACTATCTTCCGGTTAGAGGGGAGAAAAAAAACCCACAATACAGCATACTCACAGGCATATAGTCTTTATCCTCTGCCAAGACCAAACATCATTATTATTATTATTATATGAAAATAATGCACTGTTTGTGTACCAAGTGCATATGACTCAAATTATCAGAGGCCATTGTAATGCTAACCCAACACGACACGACATAAAAGCGTCAGTGAGCTGATTTGCAAGGCCGGAAGAATAATTTTGGAGCATCTGGCCTCTCTTGACACCAGCGTCAGTGCAAGTTATGCGCGGACAGTTTCGCACGCCCACTCGCCGCAGTCTGTCTCGGCCACTTGGAAGAAAAAAATAAATAAAAATGAAGAGGAGCCGAGGAGCTCGTGTACTTTTCCGCCGTATGCCTCAGCGTGACTTCCACTGCGCGATAATGCAGTTGTGCAGTCAGTCATATGAAGGAAGTCCGGACTCATTTAGAAATCCAAGGTATGACTTTTTGTGTGCTAGAAAGTATTTCATTCTATGTCCTTGAATTTGTACTCTCTGAAGAGACGTAACAGCACACACACATATACATACATACATACATATATATAAATATATACACACACACACACACACACACACACACACACACACACACACACACACACTTTTTTTTT